TTTTTTTTTTTTTTTTTTTTTTTTTTTTTTTTTTTTTTTTTTTTTTATACCGGGGATTGAACTTGGGTCCTTGCACTTGCAAGGCAGGCGGCAGAACCACTGAGCCAAATCCCCAGCCCAAGCATTAGCTTTTTCAAAGCCCACACTTGCCACCTTTTTTTTGAGACACGGTCCACTATGTAGGCTAGGCTAGCCTCAGACTTACTTGGCAACACTCCTGCCTCAGCCTCCCAAACTCTGGAGTTTATAGGCTGTGCCACCATGCCTGATGCACATTGGTACTTTGGGACTGTCAGCGCTGATGCTCTCCAGAGTCCGAGATGCAGGGGAGAGACTCTCCCTGGGGTTATTTCCACGCAGCTCTGACACGGCCTCCCAAGTGCTGAGGGTGCCACCACATGGTAGGGAAGCTGCTGTCATGCACCACAGCCAAGCACCCTGTGAGCTGAGGCCTAAGAGGTGCAGGAATTTCCAGTTCATGTCCTTGAGAGGCCAAGGTTACATGTCACCTCCTTTGCAATTCTTTCTGGAACAGGGCAAGGTATAAATAGATAAACATGGGTGGGATTTACAGTGCCCTTTGTTGTGACTGCAGCAGCAAGGGAGAGAGCAGCCTGCTCGGCCACACTGCGTCTCCGCTGCTTTCCCCCTTCTCTCTAGTCCTTTCCCCATGGTCACTGCACATTGAGAGCACAGGGCGCCTGGGGGCCCTGCTCCTCTGCCCTCCGCTCCTCTGCTCAGCCCGCTTGCCTGCCCAGTTCACCCCTCACCCTGCTCTGAGGACTCCTGGTCACTCCGCCCTTCCTCTCCTGCTGATGCAGTTGCTCCCTTCCCAGGCTGCGCTACCCTCAGTCTTGAAACGTCGCCACCACTCACGTTCTAAATGAATCTTCTAAGTTTTCTCATTTTTCTCACTTTTCTGTGTGGCACTGTTGACCTCCTCCTTGCTTCTGTATAAGGTACACATGTGCTGTTGTTGGCAAACGTCAGTAGTCCCGATACTGTGGGAGGCTGAGGCAGGCAGATCACAAGTTTGAGCCCAGTCTGGACAACTTAGTGACCTAGCGAGACCCTGTCTCAAAAAAACTTTTTCGGGGCCAGGGATTTAGCTCAGTGGTTCCGCTGCCTGCCTCACAAGCACAAGGTCCTGAGTTTGATCCCCGGTACCAAAAAACTGTCCAAACGCTGGAGGTAAAGCTCAGTGAGGAGGTCCTGGGTTTAGTGGCTAGCGCCACAGAAACAGCCTTCATCCATTTGGCGTCCGAGGCGGCAGCATTTCCAGATTACTCCCTGCCATTTGTCCCCCTGCCCCTTTCGCCCTGGGTCCCTCACTCGCCTGCTGCCTTAGATGGAAGTGTTTCCTGGGGAGCTGCTCGCACCCTTCGTTCTTTTCCTCCTGCGGGCCTCACGCTTCACCTGGATTCTGAGGGCTCCCACGTTCACCCCTTTGCTCTGACGGTGGGGTTCTAGCCCGCTCGCCTGAGGAACCTCTGCCCAGGTGTCTCTCAGTGACCACCCTTGGTGTGTGTGGAGCTGAGCCTGCCGTCTTCGCTCAGGGCCTCATTTTCGCCGTTTCCTGAGGCACCTGGTGCCCCATTATCTGCCCCAACTCCTTAGCTGGACACCAGGAGTCGCTGTGCAGCTTCTTCCTGTTGGTTCCCCACATCCAGTTAGTCTCGCTGGGCCTTTTGTTTGTTCAGGATTATCTATTCCAGGCTCAGCCCTTGTGTCTCCATCATTGCTGCAAACCTGTTGAGAGTTCACAGGCCAACCAGACACAGGCCATGCTCCGAAGTTAGTGCTCAGGCAGTGCTGAGTGGGAGACAGAAAGGGTCTCATTCCTGTCTTTCAGAGACCGGCTGAGCAGGCGCGGCGGTGGGGGCTGGAGTCCTGCCGCTGGAGAGGCTGAGCCTGGCAGCGTAGTCGGGGAAGGGGGTCTTGAGGTGGAGCTCAGGGGTCTCTACCTCTGGGTTAGAGTCCCGGTACCGGAAGAGAAGAGGAAGGGGAAGGAAAAAGACGGGAAAGAGAAAGAGGGCCAAGAGCAGTTAGGTTTGGAGACAGTTTTATTTTTTTAATTTGATTTTAGGGCGCTGGGGTTGGAACCCAGGGCCTTGGGCGTGCTAGGCAAGTGCTCTGCCTCTAAGCTGCCTTCCTAGCCCCCGAGGAGGGGAAGCATCGTGGAAATGAAGGTGTGAGCTGGTGGATGAGGGAGAATTCTGCAGGCCGCAGGCTCGGGGTGGAGAGTGGAGCCGGGGAAAACTGCCCGTGGGCTCCTTTGAAGCATCAGTAGCACAGTGGAATTCGTCAGGAATGTAAGCTGGAGGAATCCATGTGCAAATGTCTGTATTTTATCACCTAGTAAGGCTTGGGCCTCTGTTACGGTTTTCTGGGATTATTCATTTTAGGGTTCCTGTGGTGTCGTTATTTGATGCTTGGTTCCTCCTGAAGTTAATTCAGATATACTTAAGAAAAAGAGCAGTTCGCTTTTGAATTTTCCCTACTTGTCCAGAGTAGCTGTCTGTCATCTTTTCCCTCTTTTTCAATCCAATTAAATCTTATGAAAGGCAAACCAGGGTCAGATTCCAGGAGCCTACGGAGAGAAGAAACTTTATAAAATAAAGAGCTGGTGGCCAGAGCCCACCAATAATTCACTTTCAATTCTCCCTCCTTGTTCAGAGTAGCTGTGTCATCTCTCTTTTCCTGCTTTCTCATCTCCAAATAAATTGTCATGTTTTACTTTAAAAGAAGAAAAGGGTTATGTCCCCCCCACCTTTTTTTTTTTGGTACCAGGGATCGAACTTGGGTTGTCGCTTTTTTGTTGTAGAGTTGTTTTATAGAAGCTGGTGACCCCGGTGTGGGGTAGGTCTCAGGAAGTGGAACTTGTAGTCCTGTTTCTTTGTCTCCATCTGTGCACCTCCACCCTCAGGATGCGAATCGCTGGTCTGGGGGCCACAGCGCAGGTGCTGAGTGCATGTAACAGGGACACCAAAGCTGCCTCTATGTGTGAGGCTGGAGGAAGGCGGGCTCTGGAAAAGGGGAGACTCTTCTTCCCCGGGAAGGTCCTTCTGGTCCTAGAAATGTGACTGGCTTCATAGGGAATCTCCACTACCCGTGCATCTGGGACACGATCTGACATCATCTCTTCTTCTCTTCTTTTTTTTTTTTTTTTGGTATTGGGAATCGAACTTGGGTCCTTGGCGCTTGCGAGGCGGGTGGGAGCACCACTGAGCCAAATCCCCAGCCCTCCTTCTCTTCTTACATGTTGGTTTCAGAATTACTTCGTCCCCAAATCAGGGAAGGAATAGAACCATGACTTGGGCACTTTGACAGCCCTCATGGTATGAGTTTGACTCTCACGCATTCCTGGCGCCTGGATTCTGGCGTCAGGCTTTCCACTGCTGTGCGGCTGCTGGGCTTGGTTGCGAGGTGCTGCTGCAGTTACGTGATAGGAGGAGGGTGACGCGCAGTCGGGTCTCTCATTGTCTCTGCCTCTGTCCCTCTCTCCTGTTCCCAGGCTCAAAGCTGAAGGAGGTCTTTGACAAGATCCACAGCTTGCTGTCAGGAAAGCCCGTCCAGTCTAGTGGGCACTGCGTGTCCATCACACAGAGCCCACAGGGGCTGGACTTCGTACAGTACAAGCTGGCCGAGAAGTTTGTGGTGAGGAACTTTGTTGCCAGCGGTGTGGGCAGAAGTGGCTGGTGCACAGCATTACACCTTTCCAGGGTTGATGCAAAGGTGAACCCATCTCTGTTCCCAGAAACAAGGAGAGGAGGAGGTGGCCTCCCACCATGAAGCAGCTTTCCCTATCGCAGTCGTGGCCTCTGGGATCTGGGAGTTGCACCCCCGAGTTGGGGACCTCATCCTTGCCCACCTGCACAAGAAGTGTCCCTACTCTGTTCCTTTCTACCCAGCATTCAAGGAGGGCATGGCTTTGGAAGACTACCAACGGTGAGCTTGTTTCTTCTCCTCGCTCTGCCTAGGGTGACCAGTGCAATATAAATAGAACTTGGATTTGTTTCTCTCTTTCTCAAGCTCCTTTGCTTTACCTGGAATATTTGGTCAAAAAATAAAGTGTATTTCATGCAGTTGAACAGCTTTAGGATTTGTGGATTTACCCATATACTCTACTAGGAAGAATGCTGAATCTAGAATCAAATCGATCCCTGCTTTTCACTTTATAGCTTTGTAAAATTGGGTAGGTAATCTAAGCTCTTCGAGCGTCAGTTTCCTTATTTGTAAATGGGGTAATGATATCTGTTACCTCCTGAGTTTACCTGTGAGTTTACCTTTCAGGGCTTCTATGAAGCAGATCAGTAATGGACAGGAGTGCTTTGTAAGCAGAGCAGTCCGCAGGTGGAATAATGATTATTTTCCTCCTACCCAGAATGCTTGGCTACGAAGTGAAGGAGTCCAAGGTGGAACAGCAGGACAACTTTCTGAAACGTATGTCTGGGATGATCCGTCTCTACGCTGCCATGATCCAGCTCCGGTGGCCATATGGAAACCAACAAGCCGTAGGTTCAAAAGGCTCACTGTGGGGGCCAGGGTTTAGCTTAGTGGTTCTGGCGCCTGCCTTGCAAGCACAAGGGCCCGAGTTCAATCCCTGGTACCAAAAAAGAGAAAAGGCTGACTGTGAATCTGAGAGGCTAGCCTGAGAATGTGTTAGTGTGTCCTGCCCTCCATGTTGGCTTTCTTTTACTGTGACACAATACCCAAGGTTTATCAGGGCTCATGGTTTTAGAAAGCTCTGTCCATGGTTACTTGGCCGCATTGCTGTGAGATCTATAGTAAGGTAGCACTTTATGGCAGGTGTGTAGATGGAATAAAGCTGCTCACCTCAGGGCAGCTGGGGAATGAAAGGTAGAGATGGCCTGACATGGTGGCACACACCCGTAATCTCAACACTCTGGGAGGCTGAGGCAGGAGGATCACAAGTTTGAGCCCAGCCTGGGCAACTTAGTGACGTAGTCGTGCCTTGTTTCAACAAAATAAAAAGGGCTGGGGGTGTAACTTCATGTGAAGGCCCTGAGTTCAATCGTCGTTCCACAAAAAGGTGGGGGAAGCTGAGGTGAGGTTCCAGTATCCCCTCCGAGGCCTAGCCCTGTCGGCTTAACTTCATCCAGCCAGGTGTGTCACCTCTCAGTAGTGCTACCGGCTGTCTACCAAGCCTGTCACACTCAGGCCTCTGAGGGACACTTACAGACCTTCACGTTCCTCCCTTCAGGTGCTCAGGTCATGGGATGCCACAGGAAAGTGAGTGGCAGCTTCATACGTAGCTTTTAGAAAAAGGGATATTGATTGTTAGGCGCCTTTTTTGGATCAACAAAGCCGTGTTTTCAGTGGCTAGCTCATCTTGGGCCTCAAAGAACTGGGTGTTTTGTTTTGTTTTGTTTTTGTACCTGGAATCGATCAAAGAACTGGTTTTATAACAGTCTACCAGAGGAAAGGCTATTACCTGTCAGTAATTAGGCTCACAAGGGTTGTATTTAATTATTTATTTTTGCAGTGCTGGGGATGGAACCTAGTGCTTTGTGTATGCTAAGCAAGTGCTCTGCTCCTAAGGTACATCCCAGCCCTAAGATTCCCACCCTACCTCCCTCCCTCCTTTCTTCCTTCCTGAACCCAGCGCCTCACTCTGAACTACATTTGCAGCCATTTATCTGGTGGTTTTTTTTTTTTTTTTTCCCATGGTGGTTTTTTTTTTTTTTTGTACCATAGGTTGAACTCGGGACCTTGCACTTGCGAGGCAGCTAAATCTCTGGCCCTATTTGTTTTTTCTTTTGTTTTTTTGTGTGTGTTTTATTTATTTATTTTGATTTCTTTTGTACTGGGGATTGAGCTCAGGCCCTTATACTTGCAAGGCAGGCAGCAAAACCACTGAGCCAAATCCCCGGCCCCTATTTGGTTTTTGATAGAGGAATGAACAAGAAATCATCACCTTAGACCTGGTTGCGGCCTTGGAAGCCATGTAGGTGCCTGCCTTACCCCACAGATTGGCAGTTGGAGACTCAGAAAGTTAGAGGGACAGAGCCACGACCAGGGTTCAAGGCTTTGTCGTGCCAGCCCAGGCCTTTCTGCGGGAACACAGGTTAGAGAGAGGGGATGTTAGGGACCTGGAGACCTAAGGGAAAAATAGAAGTTGTTCGAATTCAGGAAGTTTTTAGTGTGTGCCTGCTATATCCAGGTTGTGTTGTCAAGGTACCAAGAATAATAAATGAAGTGTCAGTGAGAGCCCGGCGTGGTGCTGGACACTCGTAATCCCAGCTCCTTGAAGGCAAGGGCAGGAGGATCACAGGTTCAAGTCCAGCCTGGGCAACTTAGCAAGACTGTGTCTCAGAAAAAAGCCATTAAGCGTAAGTGTTGCCCTATAGAGTCTCTGAAACTGATGCTGACGTGTGTATCAAAGGGATCCTGTAAAGAACACGTGTGAACCAGGTATACTGGTGAACACCTGTAACCCCAGCCATATGGGAGGCTGAAGCAGGAGGATCCAAGCTCAAATCTAGCCTGGACAACTCAGGGAGATCCCATCTGGAAATAATTAAAAGAAGGGCTGGGGAAAGAACTCACTGGTAGACTGCTTGCCCAGTATGACCACAAGTTTAATCCGCAGTCCACACTGATGGGAACATCCAAGGACATCCAACACTTGAGTGTGTTCAGCCTGTCATTTCGGCCCTGTGGTGTGTACTTGGGCTGGGTGCTTGTGGGGTTAGTGTCTGACAAGAGTGTAGATCTCTAATATAATGAAGTCACCACCAGGCTTCTCTCCTCCAGACTCACCCTCATGGCCTGAGTCATGGTTGGCGCTGGTTGGCACAGGTCGTGAACATGGAGCCTCTGACCGATGTGACAGCCACCATCCTTTTTGACTTCTTGGAGGTATGTGATTCAGTTGTCACACAAGAGGTGGTTGTGGTGACCTCAGGACCCTGAGTGACATGAGTGGGGAAAGAGTATAGCAAATGGAGCCCAGCCAGGTGTGGTGGCGCATGCTGTACTCCCAGCACTCAGGAGGCTGAGGCAGGAGGATTGTTGTGAGTTCAAGGCCAGCCTGGACTACATGGTGAATTCAAAGTTCTAGGCCATTCTGAACTCCATAGCCAGACCTGTCTCAAAAAAGAAATGGAGGGCCAGGGATTTGGCTCAGTGGTTCTGCCACCTGCCTTGCAAGCACAAAGACCCGAGTTCGATTCCCGGTACCACAGAAAAAAAAAGAAAAGAAATGGAGCCTAGTGGTGAACAGCTTTAGGCCAGTGTCACAGGTTTTTCTGAACTGTAAGAAAAACCTAGCTTTTACTTTTTCTAACTACTGTACTTGCCTTCTTCAGGTAGATGCTATTTTTGTTATAAAGAAAATGTGTACATCCTAGCAGAAGTGAAAGAATAGCCTGCTTAGGGATATAGAAGGACTCCCAGAACCAAGGATGGCAGGTGCCGCTGTCTCCAGGACCCGGAGGCCCACCGGCACCCAGACCACTGCGGCAGGGCATGTGCTCTTACCTGCTTTCTTGCATGTGCCTTGGCCTTGCTCTGGAAGCCAGGTATCCCTATTTTCCTGTGCGTAGTAAGGGAAGTGGGTGTCCTGGACTGTCACTCAGTCTCAGTGTCCTCCTTGGGGGGGCCAGGGATTTAGCTCAGTGGTTCTGCTGCCTGCCTTGCAAGCGCAAGGACCCGAGTTCTATCCCCGGTACCAAAAAATAAATAAATAAAAATAAAAAACAAGTGATCAGTGTCCTCCTTGGGTCCTCATTGTGTCAGCTTCTGTCCCATTGGGAAAGTGCTGGACAATTCTGGCTGCAGCAAAGGGAGCTCCCAGTGAGGTGAGGCAAGAGTTTCTTCAGGAAAGACACACTTCCTGAGGAAGGCGTGGCTACATGCCAGGACCAAGCTGGGATCATTTGGCCAAAGATGCCAGCGGTTAGTTCTCATTCACTTCGCAGCTCCCGAAATTACTCTGCATGGATAGGAGCTGAGTGTCCGAGAATTCTGGCATGTGTTGGATTATCTTCTTCCTAAGGCTGGGGGCACAGGATCATTCAAATGGCTTCCATTCAGTCCAGGAAAATCGTTCCTTAGGAACTGCCAGTCTAGTTAGGGGGCAGCATTCTGGAGCATTTCCAGGGGAGAAGGAAGTCGGGTTTTCCATTCATTTCCTTGATGGGAAGTTCATTTGCATTGTAAAAGGCAAAGGGCTGAGTGTGCTCAGTAGAGGTGTCCTGTGTCTGCTCACAGCGCTTGTCTATCCCTCCAGGTGTGTGGCCATGCCCTCATGAAGCAGTACCAGGTCCAGTTCTGGAAGATGGTACTTCTCATCAAAGAAGAATACTTGCTCAGGTAGTTGGCTCATGCAGCAGTTGTAGGGATTTGGTCACTCATGAGCCGATGTCAGATCCCCTTGAGTGCTATTTATTCCTGCTAGTTTTGACTCACATACGAAAATGTATTAAGGGGCTGGGGATTTAGCTCAGTGGTTCCACTGCCTATCTCGAAAGCGCAAGGTCAGGAGTTCAATCCCTGGTACCAAAACAAACAAACAACAACAACAAAATATATATATTTTAAGGCCAGGGTAGAGTGCCTGTTCTAGCACGTGCAAGGCCATGGGTTCAGTCCAAAAAAAAAAAAAAAAAAAAAGGAAAGCCCATGTTAAGGATGACATCTTCCTATTCCTGTCCTGTCCTGTCCTCTTTAATTTGAACAAATGCTTTTAGACTCTAAGCTGGGAATGGTGGCACACACCTGTAATCCCAGTATTTGGGAGGCCGAAGCAGGAGGATTGCTGTGAGTTTGAGACCAGCCTGGGCTACACAGTGAGTTCCAGGGCAGTCTGAACTACATTGTGAGACCCTGTCTCAAAAACAAAAACAAAAAAAACTAGTGAGAGTCTCTCTCTTAAATCTTGTTGGCTAAACCCAACACAAAGCAGGTCTTAGATTAAGTACCTGGGATTTTTAAAATATTCTTTTCCAAAGTGCCCCAGATAATCTGGGGTGGCAATTACATGTGGTCACAGAGGCAGATGCCCTCATTCCGTAGTAGAAGAATCTGATTTACTCACTGTCTTACTTCTGTTGTTGAGACGAAATACCCGGCACCCAAAGTTAAAGGAGGAGAGGTTTTATTTAGCCCACAGTCTGTACAGGTTTCAGTCTCCAGTGGGCTGGCTCCGAGGCTGGATGGAGCAGCAGACAGGCATCGCAGAGGAGAAACAGTTCGTGGCAGGCAGAAGATAGCCGAGCAAGCATGCGGCAAGATGAGCCTCTTCCTATGCCTTATATTGTATCCAGGCTACCAGGGTTAGGGCGGTGCCCACCAGTCAGTGGAGTGATGTAGGAATCACTAAGTCAGTCACATCACATACTCTAGACTCAGCCACCTCTGAAAAGCCCAGCTTTGACCACCTGAGGTGACATCTTAGACAAAAGACGTAACACGCAGCAGTTGGCGTGACTGTCCTGGACTCACATCTCAGTACCCCTCCCTCCTCCTCTCAGCTCAGCGGGGGGAGACTGTGGCAAAGCCCACCTGATCAGAGACCTCGGAGGGCAGCAGTGCTGTCTCGTCCTCTGTCCCTTGTTTGGGGCCATGTGGAGAGTAGAGCATCCATAGCATAGGAGACAGCGCTCCAAGTCCCTGGATCTGCCCTTCGCCCAGAGCAACGGGTCCTTGATCTCTCTGGAAGAGGTGGGCCCCTGGGTGGGATTCATGGGTCTCGGTTCTCTCTCCGTAGAATTGAAGCTGTCACGAGCTCAGGACAGATGGGCTCCTTCATACGCCTCAAGCAGTTCCTGGAGGTAAGCTGCCCTTGGCCTGGAGTTCTGCGTCTGTGCTGAGAAGTCTGGGCCTCCAGACACTGCTCGCAGTCTCCTAAGTTTCGCAAACGCAGAGCTTGGTTTCTAGTTTCCCCTTTGGACTAAGGGCTGACGTTTCATCTTCCTGTGTAGCATTCTCCATACCCCTATGAGGCAGCTGTCCTTAAAGATGAGTAAAATAGGATTAATAACTCTTCTCTCACTGGTACATTTTTTTGCATGTTGGCCAAGGTTCTTTTCTTAGTCTCGGGCCCAGGAGCCTGGTAAGTGTGGTTATTTTTTTTTTTTTTTTTTTGT